AAAAACTGTTCGAAAGTATATCTTAGCCTCGATATCCCAACAGCGTAGAATCGTAAAGTAATAGTTACACGTTCTTTCATCTCTTCGTTACTAGTCAATTGTTACAAAAGAATTGTAAGTGTAAACGGATCGTCCATCCGAAGATCCAACGTTTGGGAGATCTTTTTCAAACTGCTCGAAGAAACGTATGTACGTACGGTTTCCGCGAACAGATCTCACCGGGAGACATTGAAATATAACGTTGAAATATTTGCGGCCACGTGTGGCTACGTGTGTACACAATGGTGGCACACATGCACTTAGCAAGAATCAGCAAACGTGCGTGTGCAACACGTACGTAGAGGTGAAGAAGAGTAACACAAGCAGAAGCTTCCAACGGTATATTTTCGTAGCTGAGAGCGTTTTAAGACCACCCTCACCCCTCCCCACCCTTCCAATAATTATTACGATGCTCGAGCATAGTCGGTGTGATTTCTCGTTTAGAAGTCACGCGTATAGTCGAACCGGACTAACAATGAATCGCATAGACACACGTGAAAATAATCTGAATAAACCGCTGAAGGAAACCGAAGGAACCATGGATTCTCAAATCCGGTCCCGTTCGTGCACGCCGTTCTTCTCTTTCTTAACCGCTTGCACAGCATTCGCTCTGCTCTGAAACACGATATCGGATGTTCCGACAATCTTTTATTTTTTTACTCTAATCTAGGACTGAGAGCATATCCCTGCTCGAGAATATACGCCGCGTACTAAGAAATCAAGAGATTTCGTTTACGCGAAATTCAAACGAGAGGCAACACGCCATCGTTTCCAATGACGATCGAACGATCCTGTGCTCGATTACACGATTGATTGAGCCATCAAAAGGCATTTCAAACTCCTTCGGAATAACAATGGTCGCGAGCTGGCTCTACCGTCACTTCAGAATCGTTAGCCCCGCAGGGATAATCTTCTTTTCCCTCCGGTGTATCCTTCCCTCGAAGATGGAACCGTGGCAACCAGAAATCGACATACGTTCGCAACGGACACCCCCGATCTCCGGACATCCTTTCACCTCGACAATGTTTTTTCACGATCTCACGCGTCCAAACTGGACGATTACTACGTTCGCAAGGTTCACGCCCGAGCTTAAAAGCCACAGCGTGCTCGCACGTGTTCAGTGGAGCTCTGCTACTAACCGAGATAAATATAAAAAGAGAACGATGGTAAAAAAAAAAAAAAATAAACGTACAAAATAAATACAAAAAAAAAAACGGACGAAAACAAAACTGTTTTGTTTCCACGTTCTGACATCCTGTTGCTTCTCTCTAATATATCGGTGCCTGTGCGAAACGAACTTCCTTGAGACATTGACAGCCTTGAGGGCAGTGGTGCTACGCAAGGATCGCCAAAGTGCTGCACAAGGAATAAACGAACAGATACGTAATAGGAAAGAAACGATCGAACGATAAAGCTTAATAAAGTTTAAACGTGTATCGTTCACTGAACCCCGAGACTATACACTACGAGTCTCGTTTTTCGACCCTGATTCTTCCCACGAACGTTTTCCCCTGCCCTTAATCCCGACGTCGTGTTCCAGATGAAAGGACACGAAGTAAAAAAAGGAAAACCAGCATCCTTGCACCTTCGAGGCCACCTGTGATTCTCTCCGCGATTTAGACAGAGTACAGGTCAAGGGTGCAGATCAGTGACGAACAACCGTCGAATTGATGCTGATTACGTGGATTATAAAAGAGAATAATAATAATAAGAATAATAATACAACAGAGAGAAAGAAAGAATGATTCTGTTCAATCGTTCTCTGATTCCACAACTTCAATCCCTACTCCTGTTTTCATTCTATTTTGTTTTTATTCCGTTTAATTTATTCCGTTCTCACGTCAACTTCCTCGTCACGTTCCATAGAGATTTATTTCATCGCCATTCACCAGTTACCACGAGAGCTCGCCATCAACCATCAATTTCACGCACTCGTCCCACACGAAAACGATTCGTCCCAATGGTAGAGTCGTATTCACCCCATCCTGAACGATCACCATGTTTGACTGTTCACCGAGCAATTTGCAGATCGACTTTATCTTCACTTCGTAATGACCTTGGAATCATTCGACAACCTTGAATATCCCGTTTATCGACGATTCTTGCACTTTTGTCCCCTGTTTGTTCGACAGTAGCTTCACCAACCAGTAGAGTTGTCACCGATTTGTCAGCCTGCCACTGTTGACCCTTGTTATTGACTCGTTTCACTTGTTCTCTTGCAGTCACCCACACTGAACAATCATCGAAACCATTGATCGCGAAAGAGATCGGTCACAATCGATCGCTCTATGATCATTCTCACGCCTTCATCAATCTTTACTCATCTGTTTCATTCATGACTCGTCCCACTAGTAGAATTAGCGATTCGTACGTCATTCATGTGTCACGTTCATTCCATCTCGGTCGTCGATTCGTTTCACTAATACGTTTTGTTCAATTCGATTTGATTAATGTTCGAACGGGGTCATGGTCAACCAGGATTCATCAGAGTTCATCAGGGTTGCATCAGCGAATGAAATTGAGTTTTTAGGATCGGGAAGTTTACTTTATCGTGGGGATCACGTCACAGTAAACGACTCGTCGGACACGATCATCAGCATTTCTCATCACACGTTCATCGTCGTTCGCTATTCTCTCGTCGCATAGAGTTCGAGCGTAGCTACCGTTCAGGCATGATGCATGCGTGGAAGAGTAGGACAAAGTAGATAACTGTTTGCCACTCTTAGCATCACCAGGTGTAGGTACGTTTCCTGTAATGGTGCAAGCTTTTTTTTTTTAATGTTGCTTGAACGAAGCTGAGGACCTTTACTGCTGAGATCAATGATCTCTCTATCTTTCGTTCAGTTTCGGAACTTCCGGGACTTTCTTGCGATTCAGAGGGCAAAGTAAAGCTTGCATTATCATAATTCACAACTAAGTAAGGTATCTCACAGCTAGCATCACCTTAAACAAGGTAACAGTCACTGGAATTATTCAGGCACTTAAATCTACGCCGGGATTCCTTGATGTCAATACGTTTTTTTTTAAATAAACATGTTAGCGTTAATCTTTCAAGATTACCGTGTTTATACATAGATTACGAATGTTTATGCATTTTCAAGGAATTTCATCTAAGAGGATGCGTACAATACTACCGGTAAAAAGTTTTCGATCTGAAAGTTCGATTCAAAAACATTGAAATCTTTTAAAGTATAAAATACCACTGTACTTTCTTGAAACAGGTAGAAAAATGAAATATCCGATTTCAATTCAATTCGTGAACACGAAAGATTTCAATGCTTTTTTTGAATATTTTAGAGTATTTGCGTTTCATCGGAAACTTCTACCCAGGAATGCAAAAATACGTATAGCACATAAAGCAGAATAATTGTTACGACAGATGATGCCAGATGAAGCAAATTTTTATTTCCAGTTGGTTCGTAAGAAACGTAAAATTGCACAAACATCCGCGATCTATTTATATATTATTAACAGAAAATTTCGTACACTCGATATCTCGACTTTTACGAAATCGTAGCTTTCAAGAAGATCGTCTAACTTTGGATAAAATGCCAAAAATCGGGCAGAAATTACACGATAAAAATTTTTCCAACGATGGCAAAGAATCCCTGCATAGGTTGTCGGCAACCTAATCTCACAGAATCGAGTTTACTCTAAACGACATACGGATCGTGTAGATCGTTTGATCGAGTTTGTTCGTGTTTGTACGTGTCCGATCGCCGCTTGACACTTTCTAGCTCTCATGTCATGATTCTTTCGCCCAATGGATCTTGACATTTTTATTAGAAAGCGCATGCGAGTACTCGAAGCGGCCCTTTGTACCCCGATGCATGCTGCATGCACGCAGAAAACGTATCGTTACTCTTCGATGCATCTCTCATCATCTAGCCAGTCGTCTCGTTGATCGATTTCCGATCAGGTAAACGTATCATCGTCCATAAATCACCATCGTCCTGAACGCGAGCCTTCTCTCGGCTCGCGAGCTTCACTCGAAAGATCGCTCGGTTTATCTGCGAATCGGTTAGCCCACCTTTCGATCCCGCTCTTCGACTTCTTCGACGAACGAGTTGCGAAATCGGTCGATTTAAAAACTTCGCAAGATGAATTTTCCAAAAGATAAAGTCAAGATTCATTTGTTGGTTTTTAATCTTGATTAACCTGTGACGAAAGAGGGTGGATCGAATTTATTTCTCAAGCATCAAAAGGATTTTAACGGATGATCTTAAGAATGGATTATCTGACGAAAATTCGCAGATAAAACGAACCGGTTTATTTTTCATCATTCCGCATAGTCATAAGCGGTACAACATTAGCGGTTAAGCTAGTGCTAAGTTAGCCATAAGTCAGCAATGGACGGTGGTCCCCAATTCCGCTGAACTCGTTCGACTCCATTTTTCCCCCACCGGTAAATCGTGCCACGACAGTTAATAACGTTGCAGCGTTTAACGATGGTCACGTGGAAATTCTTACGTGCCCGGAATAAGAATGGCCCGGGTAAATCACCGGACACGGAAAGCTGATCACGTTCGATCGTGACGAGTGAAAAGTTTCTTGTCTGTTGATTGAACGATTAAAAATTGAACGGAACCTGTGATGATAATATGCCGCAACCCTTTCGGTACGATCGAACGAAATTAGGGAATTTTCTTTTTTTTCCGTATTTTTCCCGGACGTACACGCGACGATCGTAATTTTCTTTCGTTCGTCCGTTTGAAACTGAATTTAGAGTTCTTTCCGTGGAAAGGCTTGATCATTTACGTAGCGAAAGGGTTGAGAAAACGAGACGAGTAGAAGAGGAAGGCGGAGTTGGGCGGCCTTTGTGGTGAGCGAAGCATTATTAAATGTGGTGCCCCAATATTCTAGCTTTCTGAGGAGGTAAGGATATTCTTCACCCGACAAAGAAGCACTTCCAAGCCACCACCTATCCTTCGTTTCCATCTACGTGATTACCGTATTATGTAACGGAGTGTTTCGATGTTCCGTAGTAACACTTTCTCTTACACATGTACACACTCTCTCTCTCTCTCTCTTTCTGCTCTCTCTCTCTTTCTCTCACTGTTTTGGGGTGGCCAGTAAGTTTCCAGGTAACTCGAAACTTTTATAACCAGTAGGAGAGTGCTCGGCAAATTCCCGTGAAATTCTCAACCGCGATCACGAATAATCGTATAACAACGTTTCCAAGCTATTCCAACGTTCCCTTGCTCCAACTTGGAAATTAGTTTCTTAATTGACGTCGAATTGCCCAAGAAAATTTTTATCACCCGTCTCGACGCGACTTCTTCTCCCCCCCCCCTCTCCATCCTTCGTGAATCTCGCCGCTTTCTTCCACCCGAGTTTTCGTCCGAGAGCTTGGAACTCAAATCTCTCATCTCTCAGACGTCGTGTGCTCGACCGAAAATAAGCCTCGATCGAGCCTCTTTCGAAAACTAACCAGCCGCCCCAACAACTCTCTCTTTCTTTCTCTCTTTCTGTCTGTCTCTCTCTATCTACATATCTATCTCTCTGTCCCTTTCTCTGGTGTGAGTCGTTGATCTGACTGTTCGCAATGGTTCACGTAACGCGCGCGGAAACGATGCGTTACGTCGCCGTTCCCCCCGTTGACGGCGAGACGAGGCAGGAAAAAAAAAAAAAATTTCGGCCGAGTTTCCCGCGTACGTGCGTGTGTGTGCAGCCGTAAAACGACGTAAACTCGTAGAGCATAGTGAACGTAGAAAACCTTGCGTCTGCCTCTGCGGCTCGTGGCCGTCGTTGAGAGACACCCGAGGAACCCGAGACGATGCGTGGACACCGCTTCGCGGATCGAGAGCGATCGCCACGATCGCTCGCCTCCACCGTAGACTTGTTGTCTTTTTCATCATCTTAGCACGATATATAGAACGCTGGAAAGAGGGAGGGGATCGAGATTCGATCAGGATCCATCGACAGAGTCGTTGTCGATCAATGCACCGATAGATTTCGTCGATTCCTCGATCCCTGATGCTTTGTCTTTGGACTGAGATACGTGCGTGCAAGTCATCTGGTTGGAAGAACCCCCCTCTGATCGAAGTAATCTCGAACGAAATATTCGCGAACAAGGTGAACGAACGGTCGAAAGTGTGTTTGATTATTTTTTTTCTCTCTCTAAATTAAAATTCGCGACTCGATCGAATAGATGTGAGACGACCTACGAGTCCAAGTTCGACGAAATTCTACGTTTCTCTGGTTAACGTCTCAATCAAGACTCTTTGTCTAAAAGTTGCTGGATCCTCGATTTTTTGAATTGTTTTACTTCGGTCACAGGACGACACTGCCAGAGAGGACCGTGATATCTCCTCCACGCTGCGTACTCTGCTAGTTGATTAGTTAGAAAATATTTAGTTGTGTTTATTCTGCTTGCGATCCCGCGACGGGATCTCGTAACGAGGAGATCTCGACGAGGGATCCTCACGCGGCCTGCCGACACCAGAGTAGATCAGACGAGCGTAGTAGGTACGTACACGAATAATAAAGAGAGAGACACAATACATAATACGTTCCAAGCTTTTCCTAAAAACTGTTCCAGCCTCGATTATTCCCGTGAATTCTATCACGCTTCCCCCCCGAGACATTCGTTCGAACACGTAATGAGTATATCTCTCGTACACGCAGGATACACTTTGTTTGTAACTTTGTATCGTTGGTTTCGATATCGCTGCATGCTAAGTATGAAGAATTTCCGTCCGAGTACGACGACGTATCGCTGACACGGTTATGGAGACCAAAAAAAGAAAAAAAAAAAAGAAAAATTCCCAATGATTCAAGCTTCGAGAGAATTTAATTTAAAAAAAAAGTGTCTCAAAGATTTTCAGAATACGGACCTCATCCGGTGAGGTCAAAACCGATAATACGAGCCTCGCGAAAGACAATATGTTCACTTTCTACTCGATGTGTCCGTCGATGAACCGAGAAAACGAAGCAGCGAACTTCTCATCCCCTCGATTCGTATTCCTTCTTTCGATATATTATCTTTCGCGCGCGCACTGTTCGT